CGGGCGGGGGTTGTCGAGTCTGAGAAGAGGGGGCTGAAGGTGAAGGGGGCTGACAGCAGCCTGAGAGGATGGAGCTGGGCTGGGCTGGGCTCAGCGGCGGGCCACAGAATAAGGAGCCAGGGGGCTAGGGCGCTTCACCACCCGCCTGGTGAGAGAGTCTCAGCCGGGGGGCACTAGAGGTGATCCCTTCCAAGCCCCATCTCTCCTGACTGTCTGGGAGCGGGTGGCATTAGTTGCCTTATTAAGGGGGGGGGGTTCAGCTCTAATTTCTGAGGCATAATAAAATATACCGTGACAGAAAAATAAAGCTGCCTTCTGGAGCTGAACGTTTTGTAACGTGCAGACACAGTCCCACGTTGTGCATCTGTTTGGCTCCAGGGGAGTGTGCGTGGGATGCCAGCCCTGCACACGCGGGAGCGACTCGTTTCCAACGTCGGTGAACACGAGAAATTCTCCTACAGGGTTGGGAGCCGCGGCTGCAAAATCACTGGCAAGGGGTGAGCCATGGCGAGCGGTGGGAACATGCATGTGGAAAAACAAATGCCAAGATAATGGGAATGTTATAAATTCCCCCTTGTGGGTAGAAAACCCGATTCATTGAGACCCTGCTCCTGCAAGGACTCATTCATGGTGTTTCTCACTGTGGGTCGAGTTTAGTATTTGCTTAATTCTGTGTATGACTGGACCACAAAGCTCGGAGTTAAAGAGGAGCAGCACCTAATGAGATCTGGCCTTTAAACACGTTGCCTGGTCAAATTGCTTGGCCTCCAACTATGATTACAGATGTGGCATGCAAACACCCCCCTGCGTGCACTGAGGGCCTCAGCTCTGAGCAATCCAACCCCTGAACACTCCCCTAGGAGCCTGATCCAAAGTCCAGGCAAGCCAGTTTAAATCAAGACTGAACGTCTCTCTAGGGGTTATGGAGGTACAGGCACTTCAGTGACTACAAGATAAAAGAGAGGTGGAGTTTTACTGCACATCAACTACTCTGTGGCAAGTGCTCCCACGCATCTTGTGGTAAGTAGAAGCCAAATGTGCTCAGTGAAAATGGAGTAACTTCTTGCATTTTGGCTTCTGCTTAGAAACACCTGTTTGGAAGGGACCTCAGTGGTCAACTAGTCCAGTCCCCAGCATGGAGACATGATTGCTGTTCCTAAACTATCCAAGATCGATGCCTAGCCAACCCCTTTCTTAAAGTCTTCAAAGAAGATTTCACAACTTTCCTATGCATGGAAAAATACTTAAGAATCTTGGTTTAACAGGATTCAACCCTATGCATGGAAATCCCAAAGGAATCCTAGACCATTGCTCTGACCACGAGTACTGGACATAAATCATCTGGGGTAAGAGCATTCATAGGGTCAATAACTGCAGAGTTTTACCCACACTTTTACCCACATAGTAACTAGTTTAGGTGTCCATACCCTAAGAGAGAGGTTTTAGTTTTTAGCCAGGGGCTTGATGTAGGAATTACAAGTTCTCTGGCCTGTGTTATGCAGAAGATCAAAGATGGTTGTACTGATCCTCTTCATTTTTATTATCTATGGGAAAAAAATCACAGTTGTGTTGGTGGCTTAGTAGGTAGCAGTTTTCTTCCAAGCCTGCATTGAATTGTTTTCTGCATGATGTTAGGAACTGAGGTGCCATCTTCCAGTTGAGATGTGAACATAGCCAATGGCCATGAAAGAGGAACAGCTTTGAAAGAGCAGGAGCAGCTGACATCATGTCCTGGCCAAAATCCAGCATAACATTTCACTCTAGTTTTCAGAAGACTTGCTCTACTGTGTTTCTGTCACCATAAACTGACAAAGATTTGTCATTTTCTCAGTGGTGCCTTGAGTCTAGTGAGGTGTACC